ATTTGTAAGAATAAATAATCTGAAGATTATCTGTATGTTTATGCTGCTAAAATGTTTCATAATCTATTTTTACAAATCACTGCATTAACTCCAATGGGGTAAATGCTGATAAATCTCACATTATAATGTGATTTAGTTAATCTAATATGTGATTGGTCAACACTAATATAACTTGGATAACAAATAATAATTTTTAATATATGTTTTTAGGGCAAAGCAGTGGCGCAGTAGGTTGTGCTGTCGCCTCACAGCAAGAAGGTCGCTGGGTCGTTGGTTTGAGCCTCGGCTGAGTTGGCGTTTCTGTGTGGAGTTTGCATCTTCTCCCTGCGTTTGTGTGGGTTTCCTCCGGGTGTTCCGGTTTCCCCCACAGTCCAAAGACATGCGGTACAGGTGAATTGGGTAGGCTAAATTGTCCGTGTATGAGTGTGTGGATGTTTTCCAGTGATGGGTTGCGGCTGGAAGGGCATCCGCTGCATAAAAACTTGCTGGATAAGTTGGCGGTTCATTCCGCTGTGGCGACCCCGGATTAATAAAGGGACTAAGTCGACAAGAAAATGAATGAATGAATATATGTTTTTATGATTTTTAAATAAAAAGTTGTGTATTTAAAAAAGAAATAAAGTTATCTTTTTCTCCTAAAATGTGTGTTTTTTTTATTTTTATTTAAATATATCTCTTGTTAATAACACACCTGAATGCATTATGAGAGTTAACTTATACTTCACTTCCAGAGAATCGAAATTCTTTATTGTTTGAATGGTTTAACATCAAAATAGTAAATTCTTCTAAAACTCTTCAACATCTTAAAGGGACAGTTCATCGTGAAATGAAAGTGTACTCACTCTCAAGCGATTCCAAATATTTATGCGTTTCTCTTTTGTGCTGAACATAAAAGCAGATATTTTGAAGAACGTTAGAAATGGGTAACCATTGAGTTCCATAGTAGAAAAAAAACATGTACTATGGTCGTCAATGCTAAACATTTTCCAAAACTGCGTCTTTTGTGTTCAACAGAGGAAAGAAACAGGTTCACAACAAGGAAAGAGTGAGCAAATGATGACTGAATTGTCATTTTTGGGTGAATTCCCCTTTTAAGGAATGTTGTAAATGGAAAATTAGGAAAAGAAGAGCACATTCCTCTCAACCAATTCTCTGTTCTTTCAGAAAAGCGATAGCGGTGCGTCTTTTGTATCTCTCTCCCTCTGCAGGTTTTTGTGTCTATAAAGAGCTACGGCGTGATTATAAAAACATGTGGGTTGCCGGAAGCCATAAAGTCTAAGCTGAACTCTTTGTTATGACAAGGTGTCATAGTTTAACAATTATGTCCCATATCATAATGCTGTGTCTGAACAGGTTCTCTTCCTCCCTCTCATCTAGTTGCTCTTTATGTAAACCTTTAGAGTCAAATATGTAGAAAATTCAGACCTCCCAGAAATGGCATTGTCCTGCTTTTCCGTCACTCGTCAGCCTGTCAAACATCGAAAACACTTGGGACTGATCCACAGTTTAAGCTAATTCCGTTAGCGCATCTCACTTTGCAAAAGCTGAATATGGATATATATAATTGCTTCCAGAGCCCTTGTTATGGACAGGAATATAATAAGTTAATTTCATAATGATTGAATATCTCACTGTATGATTAACATACAGTATTCAGAATAGTTTGATATTGCCAATATAATCCGGATAGTATGTATGGATCGTATGACTATTCATTTTATAATAGGGCAGCATGATATTGGAAAAAATGCATATGCAATGCAATATTTGTTTTTCAGCAAATTTTGGGATATTGAATATAATTTCATCTGATGACGTGAATAGTGCTATTTGGAAAGAATTGCTCATTTTACATCGATTAGGATGATTAAAATATGATAAACCAGCCTGATCTCATGAGGAAATGTAACTATTTTAGGTTTTGTCAGTTTAGTGGATAAATTTGGACAAATTTATATGAGTTCAGTTTCCCAGTATTGGGTTGCAGCTGGAAGGGTATTAGGTGTGTAAAACATATGCTGGATAAGTTGGCGGTTCATTCCGCTGTGGTGACCCTTGATGAATAAAGGGAGTAAGCTGAAGGAAAAAGAATGAATTAATTTATGTGTTCACGAAAAACCAAACCCCTCCCCTAAACCCAACCGTCATTGGAAGATGAGCAAATCATACATTGTAAAAAATGTAGGATGTCACACAATTTATTCAGGTTGTCTCAACACAAATCGATTAACAAATTTAAGTGGACTAAAAATAAAACAATTAAGTTGTCACAAAAACAATTTAAAAATTTAAACAAGCAGCAAAATCAGTTTTTTTGAGTTTACTAAATTGTATGAATGAGATCCTACAAATTTGACTAAATCAATTAGTTACGAATTGCCAAAAGATATCTTTGAATAAACCAATCATGAGCATTGATCAAATCAGCTGAGCAAAGATACAAATAAAAAAACACCACCACCACCACCACCACCACAGTGTTTTTCTGGGAGTCTATGAGTATTCAGGCACAGAAATTGAATAATCAACTGTAAAATAATTTTTGTAGTATATATACACTTACAGTAAATACAATGAATCTTTCTTAAAGTTACATACAGGATGTAATTTCTTGTGCCTGAATGCTTTAAATTCTTACACAATCTTAAAAACACATAAACATGATAATGTTTTTGGGTAACTTTATGGTCAAACTTTGCAATGAACCCATAAATTTTGTGTCAACTCAACTGTGGCTCTTAGTCAACTATAATCCCACCTCAACATTGTGACTATTGCTGATGTGTACAGCCCTATTTTGCAACTTACAGAATAACGGATAAAACTTATACTAAAGTCAAACTCAACTAAACTCGACTAAAATCCTCGTCTCATTCTAAATAAGTAGTTTTACAAAGTGCAATTGGACCCTTTTTTTACTCAATATATTCCAATTTCAATTCAATTCAATGAATTTCTGAATAAGTTTAAAGAACTGAGTTTGCAATTGAATTTAGTCAACACTCACTGTAAAAAATGCAGGCTTCCGCAATATTCATTAATGTTGTCCCAACACAAACCAATTAAGTTAAGTTAAATGTTTTTGACAGACTTAAGTGAATTGAACATAAAACAATTAAGTTGTCCCCAAAAATCTCAGGAATTGTGTTGTTTCAGCTCATTCTAAGTAAGTAGTTTTTTAACAAGCAGCAAAAAATATTATCATCATTTTGTTGAGTGCTCAGTGAAACTCAGTTTGACTACTTACTCTTTTCTCAAATATGAACACAAAAAGCTTTTACATTTTATTAGGTAAACTAATTTAGCATTTAAAACATGCACACATTTTCACAAAATAACCTTGCGGGAATCATTTAATCAGTAAATGTTACAGATAAGCTCTGAATCTGAATTGCCACAGTTTTAAAGGATTTAGGAATTTATCAACCCTTATATATCCCAGTGCAAAGATACAACATTTTGTCTCAGAATTTATGCCAGTCCGTTTAATTCCAGTCCAACTCAACTCAAAAAAAGTAGAAGAGTAGATTAAATCCAGATTTAGATTAAAGTAGTAGATTTAATCCAGCTCAGCTCATTTGAACTGAACTCAGCTCAGCTTCACTTAACCCTATTCAACTCAGTTTACTCCAGATCACAGAAAGTCAATTTATTCCTACTTCAATTTTTATTCAATACAGTTTACAATCTAACTGAAACAAGTCAAACTCACTTCACTATAAGTCAATGAAACTCTGTTTAATCCAGTTTGACTTCTTGTTTTTCCTCCAATGTGAACAAAAAGCAAATGTTTAATTGTAAATGTTAATAATTGATCCTTTTTACATACCAAAATAAAAAACCCTTAATGAGGAAACAATCAAACTCTGTGTCCAGAATGGGATAAAACCTTATTCCCAAGATCAGTCTTTCAGTTCATAATGATTTAGGAATTTGCAGTCCCTCACATGCAAGTGTAAAGGCCCAAAATGTATAATAGATTTTCTCTAAATTAATTCCAGTCCAACTCAACTCAATGAAAGTATGTTTAATCCAGCTCAACTTGACTTAAACCTATTTAACTCAGTTATCTCCAGATAAAAGGAAGTTGATTTATTGACAATTCAATTTAGATTCAATACGGTTTACAATCTAAATGAATCCAGTCAAACTCACTTAACTATAAATCAACAAAACTCTATTTAATCCAGTCTGACTACTTGTTTTTCCTCCAATGTGAACCAAAAGTTTAATTCTTTCAAGATCAGTCTTTCATTTCATAATGATTTAGAAATTTGCAGTCCCTCACATGCAAGCGTAAAGGCCAAAAATGTATAAAGTAGATTTTCTCTAAATTAATTCCAGTTCAACTCAAGTCAATAAAAGTAGGTTTAATCCAGCTCAACCCAACTCAACTTGACTTAACCCTCTTTACTCAATTTAATCCACCAAAACTCAGTTCACTATAACTCAATGAAACTTCATTTAATCCAGTTTCTCCTCAAATGCGAGCATAAAAAGTTCTCAGTTGTAAACATTTCAATAGTTTAACTATAAAACATGCCAAAGTGAGTAAAACCTAACCTTGAAGAAATTATTTGACCCTTAAAGAGCAATCAGCTAAAGTGCAAATAAGTTGTTGTGTGCAAATAAGTCATAGAACAAAAGCTGTGAATGTATGGATGTAATTTTCTCTCTCAGAGTCTCTTTCTCTGTCTTTCACTCCGTAAGGATTCAGGAATTTGTCGTCCCCCATATCCGAGTGCAAAGATACAAAATGTGTGATTATCCTCATGCTTGACCGAGAGAGTGTGTGTGTGATCCTGGCCTGTGGTCCTTCACGCTTCAGCCAAGATACAAAAGAGCAAAACACCAAAACACAGTGACACACGCACAGAGCGAGAATGCGGCAGGAATCTGCTATTAAAGATAGCAGAAACACCTTTAAACACTTCATTATATCCACCATGCAGGTGCTCTGAGTGCATGTGTGTGTTTGTGTGTGTGCGTTCTCCACATACCTGCTCATGTATCTGGCAGGCTGTGAGGTTGTGTTGGTGGGTGGATGGTGAGATCTGGACGTGCCTTAGCCAGCTCCTGCTATCACACACGCTCCCATCCAAACCTGCCTGTTCACCCTGAGAGAGAGAGAGGGAGAGAGAGAGAGATCAGACTTTGATCTTGAAATTTTACAGATTACTGTGCAGTGACTAAAATCTCATGCCACCCACTGAGGCTTAGAAAATGGCCATATAGATAAGTCAAACTTATCAAGAAACACACATATACACACACACACATACACACACACACACACACACACACACACACACACACACTGACAACATCTTCTTTACACACTTCACTTCTCTCACAGACTCTTCACCTTTACTTTTTTTGCCATGAAGTGAGTGAATGCCACAAACAAAAACTAAATTCTTTAAACTTCATCCTAAGCATAATTTGGATATCAGATTAATAACTTCCGCTCAAGTAGGTTTTGCAAATTAGCTCCACAGAGACTATTTCAATTTGATTTTGAGAAATATTTTGTGAAATAGAGCAAAAACATTAAATTAAATACCTAAAAGAGGTTTTGAATACCTTGTAGTTGGTCTGTTTAGTTTTTAACACACATCCATGTCATATAATTTTTCTTTAAATACATTTAATTAAAATATATGCATTTAAATGTAACCTGGACACTTTTAAAAGCTTACAAATTGCAGACTTGCATGCAAACATAATGATTGTGAAAAAAAAAATCAGTAAAGCCTTCAGTATGTCAGCCCAGTAACAGTGTGCACATTACAATTCCTGCCAAAAAAATCTCGAAAGAAAATAACGGGTTTATCTTTCACACAGCTGCCAGACTACCGTACAGTCTCTAAAACTTGCTTTTTCGCTCTTTCTATAAGGTAAAACAAACGTGAACACTTTCAAAACGGAGTAAATATACACAGCTGAATGTTAAGAAAACATTTCTCTTGAAAACGTAGTCACCGAGTTTATAGTTTCAGGTCAGAAAGCGCACCTCTTCCATAACAAACCGACAACACCGATCCTCCAGTGCAATTCACACACTGTTTTAAATTAAATGCAACAACAAACAATCTGGTTAAATTAGGTGGATGGAAACCAAGGAAATATACAAGCTATGTAGTATAAAACACAAGGTATGCGATTAAAATGCGGTGTTTTAATTTTGCGCTTTTGGGTAGAAAAATAACAAATGTTTTATTTTTTTATAAACTACACTCGTAAAACTATAAAACATACTCAGATGTAATAACTGTGTTTAAATATTGTCTATTGTCTGCAATGAGAAATCATTTACAGTGTTCACCTATAATGTGTTTCAAACGATAAACAAAAATGTTTAAAACGAATAAATCGTAAAAATATATAATTTAAAAAAATAGGCTTCAAATTGAAGGATTTTAAAGTACATAAAAAGTTGCTTAGGAACAAAGAGCAGAAAATTCAGCAAAAGTAGACTATAATGTGAAGACGAAGAAAAGAATTAAATAAAAAGCTTGATCTTAGCAACCCGCACGGCATTTAGGCTAAGCGTTAAGCTTCAAGAGCAAAGAACCGAAGCCCTTCGTTTCGATACAATTAAACAAGTTCAAAGGTGAAGGATGAATGGACTTTTATTTGACCATTAATTCGCCGCTTGTCAAAGACAAACGTTGATATAAGAGCATAAACCGCCTACCTTAAGAAATCTCAGTGGAAAGAATTAATCAATGAACAGCACCAAAAAGCCCCGAATGAAGTTCGTACGCGCCCGTTGTGATTTGCGGCATGTATCCCGTGTCTCTTCCTGAAGAAAAAAAAAAGTCGCAGTCTCTCTCCTCTCGCTTTGCTCTTATCAATTGGACGACCTGCTAAATATCCAAAACTTTGTTAAACTTCAGTCCAGAATCGTGCTGCTGAAAAGTCCCCATGTGTCTGACTAGTGGTTTTATTCACTGTTCCTCATCCCGGCAATCGCGAGTGCAAGATTGTGCGACAAAAAAGAAAAACAGAAGGACGAAAGAGGATCGTCCACCTTCGCTGATCTGAACGTGTAGGAGTGTCTCTGTCTGTCCCGTTCGAGTGGATCCTCTCTTGTCCCACGCGAGGGAGATGCGCTGAGGAGGAGGAGGAGGAGGTGGATGAGGAGGAGGGGGGACCTGTCTCGCGTGTCCACCGGTCGGAAGTTGCGCGAGGCTCCCCAACGCTCGCGGAGAGCCGAGGTCAGCGCGAGGTCGGGACGGGGCTGCTCGTGGATAGACCCGAATTTCCCCGCTTTGATGAAGCCATCCAGCAATCACGAAATCAGCGGCGTTTTCCCTCCCCGCCTGCTCAGCTGCATGTGCATGTGGGACGGACACGAAATCGAGTGAAAGTGCTCTGAGGTGTAGATTGTTTTCTTTAAACCTAAATGACGTAGAATACGATTATCATTACGATTAATTTAGGAACTAACATTTATGTTTAGCTTTAGTAAACACTGATTAAAACAAATCAAAGGCAACATCTCCCCTTTTTTTCTTTATGCACGATACACCTGCTCTCAGACAATCCTTGAGCACATGCTTCAAATCGCAATAAAAAGCAAACAAATCTTCATTTATCTCTTCTCTCATGTTATAACAGGAAATAGGAGTAATTTAAAAAATTGGAAAAACGTCACAAATGTTTAATGAGCAGAAAAGCTACAATTGCAACAATGTTTGCATGATATGAAATGATTTTTCTGCAATACAGACATTATTTGCTCCGGTTTTGCATTGTGAGATACTTAATTTAAAATTACACGAATGAAAAAGCTCTATATTGAAATTGTTGATTCCATGCAGAACATTTAAGATTAAACCTTCGTTTAACAAGTGTCTGTAATATTTAAATGAAACATTTGAATGTAAAAAAAGGGTCGCCTTTTTTGAACCATCATTTTTACAGCTTATTGAACTAAAAATACCTTTCAATTGCTTCAGCAATTAAAAATGTTTTTTATTTGACGTAATCTAAAGAAAAATAGCCTACAATTTCTAAATAAAAGTTCTCATATGGCATCAGATTTCAACACAAGCAAGAAGCGCAATCCACGGGACGCTAATGACTCTGATGAAGACGAATATGTCTCCCTGGCCTATCTTTGACATTGAACTCAAGGTCCAGATAATGTCCATTGTTTAATGAAATCGCAGGGCAGAAGCGGAGGAAGGACAGGAAAAATCATGTGTAAATACGGCGGCCCTCGCCAGAGATTCCCATACACCCGCGCTCCTTGAGAACCGCAAAGAGACCCCGGTCCGCCGCGCATCGATTTCCTGCCATTCCTCGACTTGTCCATTGTTGGAAGCCTTTTTAATTTAGCCATAAATTGGGAAAGCTCAAGCTATGAGCTGTTCTATTTTCTCCCTGTCAGGATGAGGGATTTGGTTTATGATGCATTGTGTATTAAATACAAGTAATCTGGGAAAGTGATTGCCTTGCCTCGCCGGGGTCTGATGGAGGCTGGTGATAGAGGCTCCTCAGCTGAATTGTTCTGAAAAGGAGGAAGCGATAGCAGATAAACAAAAAGGGCCGGTGGTATCTGTACCACGCCAGGGGTAACACGGGGTAAGAGAGAGAGAGAGAATGAGAGAGAGAGAGAGAGAGCACAGGGCATGGGGCAACTCCTGAAGCGACACTTCCCTTCGCTCCCGGTAGATGGCGTACTGAGCCGAGTTTCAACATGGGGAGCAAAACTTATTTTGCGCTTTCCTCAGGAATGAAGTTGCATTGGTGACACGTTGTTTAATGTCATATGTGTAGGGAAAACCTGCGGGCAGTATTTGAATGGGCACAAATGTTTAATTCGATAGACTGGTGAAGTCGACAGAGAGTGTGTTATTTAGAGAACCGGCCGCCTCTCGCTCTCTCCCTCTCTCTGGAGGGAAGCGCATCAGTCAAGCGCGGAGCCGCGGAGCTACCCAGACCGGGAGTCATTTCTTTTCACGGCTGCGAAATTGCAGCACACAACGCCGTACACATTAAGGCGTCAAATTGCTAGATGAAACATGAAAGATTCAGTTGTATTGCCTCCAAATAGAGAATCGCCTCAACGACCTACAATGCAACTCGACGCTTAACCATGATTGAATCCAATAAGAGTGAATTTAATCCGACCCTATAATGAATTTATTAGATAAAAGGCACAATAATTTAGGCAGATATAGTAGATTGTTTTTGTTTGGGTGTTTGTTTAAACTACACGTCACATCTCAATGAGAAATAGCTGAAGATATATTAAAAAATACTTTTTTTTAAGTCTAAAACAAGTGTTCTTACACATCTAACCTATGGCTGAAGATGTGGAAAAAAACAATTTATTAACTTAAATATTAGGTTTATTTAAAATTATGCTACTTTTAAGTCAGTAATATGAACAACCCGTTCACTTTCATAATAAGTTTAATTATGCAATATTAAATCTTTATGTTTTGACGGTTTCTTGTCACACGACACCAAAGTGCCTTGAACATTGTAGTTTTATTTCATGAATATTTTAGAGCATTAACAATGTTTTAAATGATCAAATAATAATTAAAGTTATTTTTTAAAGCCAATATTTTTTTTCAAATGTTTAATGCAACATTAGGCACATTAGCTCTCGTAAATTAAACCTTTTTTAAACCTGTTTAAACCTGTTTGTATACGGATTGCTGTTTGTGTTTTTCATGCAGTCATTGACCCATACAGCCCATTCTGACGATTAACTGCAATAAGCACGATGTGATCGAAAGATTTCACAGGATTTAAAAATTTTTGTGTTTTACATTCATTCATAAACACTATAAATAGAAAAACAAATAAAAAATTTTATAATTTTTTTTCTTTTTTTTCTGAGAATGCGCTTTCAAGTTCAAAAATGTCATAAGTTCAAGCTTGTTTTTATTTGTTTGTTTGTTTAGGAACAGTTTAAAGCTGCATCTTATGTTTTGATTTGCTACATCAAGTCTGCATGTTCGACTCATGCATTTGCCAATGCATTTGACGCAATACTTTGGGAGGCTGGCAGCGCTGCAGCTCGGATTTGTTTATTTGCAGTGAGTGCGCGCATTAAGCCTTTAGCTAAAAGTTGTGCGGAGGGGAATCCCAGATG